CTAATGATAAGACGCTATATATACAGTACGTGTTGCATATATAATCACTGTGTCGGCCGTGTAGGATGTGCATAACTTTCTTACCTGACACACTCGTGCCAAATGACCTCATTCGCCGCTCCAAAGTTAGGCTACTTTGCGTACACCCATCATACTGCTTACTTCGCTATAAAAAATTCAATTGCGCCTCGTGTATATCATACGAAGGACCTACGAAGGTTTTCCACGGCATAAACTTGTGCTGGAAATGCAGAGTTAGTCATGGCGGAATAGCGCTGTCGCTGCTCAAATTGGTTTAAATTTTTGCAAACCCTATACAGCAATTCCAAAGTGCATGCAGAGTCGTCGATTCTAATATTTACAAGATATCTTTTTAAAACGTCAAATCGTATTGCAAATCCCTCTACACAATTTGGGTCACCAAGGCTAGCTGTCTAATCGTGATATTATATCCTCAATAATGTTCAGTGCACCATGATTTTCATCACTGATTCTGCTCGTTCGTAGCCGCCATATAGGAATATGCCAGGGGGGAAGTTTAACGAAGTGCTAATTAATATTGGCGGATATTTAACGCGGTGCTATATAACCGCCAATATTCACTTCTCAAATTCATGTGGTCATGCGTTTTCAACATGTTTTGAAACTTCAACATTGAAAATTACTTCAATATCTATACTTCAATGTTGTATTTCACTTAAATTCGACACGTTCAATATTCAAATTAACATCAATGAGGGAAACATGTTGAAATTGAAGCAATGTTGAATTAAAGTGGCATGCTGAATTTGATATGTTCAATGTCGAAATTCACTTCAATACGGAAACATGTTGAATTAATATCAACATGAATATTGGCGGTAATCTGACGCCATACCTCTGTGGTTCAGTCCTTGAGCCACGCGTGACATTGCGTGCCTGCCACGTGACTCGTGAGCCCGATTTTCAAATTTCAACGAATTGAACGAAAGAGTCGAAAGACTTCAAAATCAATTTTAAAACGCTAAATACAACGTCAACGATTTCTATTGAGAAATGTCTGAAGAAACAGGTATGTGGATAAACATTATGTTTTGAGGTTTCTTTTGATATATATTTTGTTTGGTTTAATATTGGTCGAGCTCATATGTGGAAATTCATTTCAATATTAGGGAGTTAGGAATTTCATCATATATTAAAATCGAAGCGACATCGTGATCCATTGTTTATAGTAATATTAAACAATAAAATATATACCTGTCACGTTTTAGGAAGAGTTACTATTTTTAGACTTTGTAATTTTGTAATCTTTTGTGTTTTAAACTTAACCCTAACCCTTACTGAGTCTTACTAGCCTAACCCTAAAACTTGGCCTAACCCTAAAACTGGCTACTGTCGTTCCAATTGAAGTGTTGCTCAAATATTGATTCAATACATTACCTCGGGCTGACCAATTCATTTCATCAAGTTCCTCGAGATATTCATTAGTGATGGGCGATACCGAGTACTCGGTATTCGATACCAGCGATACCACAAACAGCGGTATCGGTATCGATTACTGACGTGGTATCGTTCGATACTTGTACCCTTTTTTAAACGACTTGTTTAATTTCACTTCTTGGTTGAATGAGACTTAATAAACCACTAAAATAACTCTTAATATTCTAAATGTGGTGCGCCAAGTCACGAATAGAAAATATTTATTACGTTTCAGGCTTTTGGTTTACATATAGCTTCATTTAGATTACATGCAGTAATGTAAAATGTTTTTCCGCTGAGCAGCAGGTATCGAAAGTAGCTGATACTAGCAATTTAAGTACTCACTTCCGGTATCGAAAACTGAAATTTTGTGTTCATTTTGGTATCGAAATAGGTATCGGTATCGGCCGATACCGATCTTAAAAGTATCGGTATCGGTATCGAATTAAAAATCCTGGTATCGCCCATCACTAATATTCATACACTTCCTAGTATAATTGTATAAAACTCCCTGTTGAATAGTTTGAATGCACCAATCACCTTTGTTGTTTGTGCAACTAACCAATCATAAATAGAAAGTAAGTGATCAGAAATGATCAAATACTTGGAATTGGCTCTTTCACAGGAAGTGTATGAATACTGTATCTCGAGGAACTTGATCAAATGAATTGGTCAGCCTGAGGTAATGTATTGAATCAATATTTGAGCAACACTTCCATTGGAACGACAGTAAAAGTCTAAAAATAGTAACTGTTCCTAAATCGTGACTCATACGATAAAACAGAATGGTGAAAAGGTGACAGCCAGGTGAATATATAAATGCAGGCCTATATAGGATTATTTCATATTATGCTAACAATGGACATATCTCAGAGATATATTTTTACAGACCGTCAAAAGTCGGTTGACATGTTATGCATCAGTCAATTCTAGCATTGCCCACCACCCCCCCTGGGTAACCCCCGGGCATTTGCACTTTTTTTGCCCAGGGGCCGGGCATCGGTACTTGCAAAGTTGTCCCGGGGGCGGGGAATTCTTTACTGGCCAAGCGTTTGACTCGACCGGCCGTTTCTGCGACGAACACATGCTATTATATTAAAATGCTGCCAAAGCTCATTAATTATATTGATGAATTTGTGGGTAAAAATGAGGATTTTGTCGATATTTTTATTCACAAAACGTCACACCAATCACACACGAGAAACTAATTAAAGTTGTGTTTGACTATCTAGCATAAAAACACTAGAATTCATAGCACAATCCTTGTTTATTTTGCTACGTTATTGTATATTAACCACTGAACCGACAAGCACGTTTTTCATGTTCAAAAGTTGGGATGACTGCTCTAGCTTTTATACAAGGAAGCTAATACTGTTATGGAAGTTTTGAGGTTTAAAATACGTCTATAAATGAGTCGGTGTGCCCTGGGGCAGGGCATTTGTCATCCTTTTTTTTGCCCGGGGGCGGACCATTACCACGCTTTTCCTGCCTGATCCCCGGGCCCCCGGAATTGTCACCTTATAGAGAAAAAAAGTGCAAATGCCCAGGGGTTGCCTGGGGGGGGGGGGATGGGCAATACTAGAATTGACTGATGCATTATTACATGTAACTTGCTGGTATAATGTTAATATATGCAGACAACAATCCACACTCTGTGACACTGTGTTGCTATAGGACTAGTATCTTTGTACAAGTCAGATAATTTTTCATTCATACACAATTGTGTGTTCCAGTGCTGGCACAAAACTGCTCAATTGATATTCCCATAATAACAATATTAATAATAACCTATCACTGTGATTATTTATACCTTGAAGTACGATGTTCTATCAAGCTCAATCAGATTTGTTATGAACTGACAATCGACAAGTTGCTTATATGAAGACTTGTTTATATGAAGACTTGTATGCATCTAAAAATTTAATAATTTAAATACGGTACAGTTAAAGGGGTCCTACAGTCATTGTTTAGTTGAAAAGCCACCTTAAGTAGGGGACTCCACAGAGATTCGTTTGGCTGTATCTTACATGCAGTATCCATGAGTATGAGTACTTCCGCACACCGGAAGAAGCATGCATGTCGTGGTGCGCATGTCAAGTAGCGACAATAACAAAAAAATGTAAACAATATTCAAGGTGGCTTTTCGACTAAAAAATGACTGTCGGGCCCTTTTAATTAATTTGTTTCAAGTTTCAACATAAAATACTTTGACCAAAACACATTGTTATTTGCGATCAAACGTTCATCTTACCTTGAAAATATTTTGATAAACAGCCAGACATAACATTTGCGGTGCGGACAGCTACAAGATATGTCGGTACAGCAGACAACGAGGCATACAAATTGTTATGGTCCATGGTGGTGATCGTGAGGTTCAACAAAGTCAAATTGTGATCTAGAGTATGTTATTTTTTAAAATTTCTGTGACGTCAAAATACGTCATAAATCCGATCATCCGTCCATGCAAAAAATCGAGTTCTCATTCGGCTATACATAACTCAGCCAAAGAGACTGCACACATAAACACAATACTTCATGTTAAGAATAGTGTGCTGCCTTCGGCAGCAATTAATTGTATTACCCTACCAAAATCTAGCCTGCGAGCAGGCTCTCTGGGTGAAAGAGAGCCTGCAAGGATCCCTATAAGGTTTACGTGCATGCGTCCAATATTTGGACGCAGAGCTCTGATTGGTTGATAATTGATTCAAATGAAATGATTGACAAGCTTCCATAAAGTACACTTCCCGTTTGTAAAACCGAACAATGCAAAGCTTCGGAATTGCGGCAATGTAGAGATCGATTTGTATCCTTGTTGATTTTTTACTGTAAATTAATATAGTATTCATATAAAGACGAGTACTAAAAGCTTGCATGCTTTATTGTGTCCTGGGCTTGTCTGACTTCTAGGCTAAGAAAAGACTGAACAAATTCGCAAACCGAAACCTAGGGACAAGGCATTAATATATCGCCTCTCTTTCATGAAACAATATTGAGATTTATATATTCTGATAATATTCAGTGCATATTGTTTGTATTAAGCTTGTTTTACACTGTTATAGTGACTATTTAATATTTATAAGAACGCGGCGTTAAAATGTACTGTTACATGAGTAATTTACTCGTCACTTTGTTTACAATAATTATCACATGCATGTTTACTGTAATTCCACCTTTTGTTGCAAAATTTGAACTATAAACATTATTAAATTATGTCCAATGTCCATGGTATATCATATATGTCTACGTCTCACCAAAGCCATAAATTTCAGTAAGTTATATTAATATTACTATACTGTATATATATTTATTGCAGCATGTAGCAATTCCAAACAACTGAATTAGTTAGCGGGTAATATACAACTTTAAACGTACTGCAGTGCCTACAGAAACATGTGCAGATTGTAATAAAAAGTACAACTTGATATATTACACTGTACTCGAGCCGTTTTAACTTTCAGTTTAGTATGCCCCAGTGGCGGTCTGTATTCGAAACTAACGAAATAATAAAATATAAATGTATTAAATGGAGTTCGACGTTTTAATATCGGTTTATGTTTACAATATTGAAGTGTATTTCCGGTATGCGCTGATTGGTTGTTATTAATTGACCTGTGACATCCTAATTGAAGGGCGGCACACAATCATCATAGGGATCCTTGCAGGCTCTCTTTCACCCAGAGAGCCTGCTCGCAGGCTAACCAAAATCATAAATCTAAAACAAAACTAGATCAAGATGCAAAGAAATGGACCCTTGTAGTATGTGCAATGTCATTTCAGGGCTTTATTTTGAAAGCATTATTATTGGCGATCAGTGTCAAGAATTTCGTATAACACCAGCAAATTTCTAAATAATCTAAATTGGAGTGATACCGTGATATGGTTCCGTTGGAAAGGATCATTTGGGCAGACAAAAACAGCCTGAGCCATTAATCACTATGATTTAATCACTATCACAATTAACTGTTAGTGATCGAGGTAAATTGATACATATTAGTGTTAAGATACCACAATTTTGATGAGCAGGGACTATGGTACAGTATGGTACTAATGCTATCTTCACAGCATTAAGGATTTTATCTTTATTTTTAGTGTAACATGGTGCATTGTTTGAAGTGACTAATAACCATCTGCAGACTACAGTGCAGTACCATGTATTAACAGGGTGAATGGATCTAACAAGTTATTCATGAGTCATGACCTATCAGTGAGACAAAGCTTGAAATGCTAACAGTCCAGTTATCATACATAGCTCAGTTTTTTTTCAGAACTCTTTACTATGTAGATAGTATGTCTTAAAAAGTATTAGTTTTCAGAAGGTATACTTAAAATTACTATGTCATTAATGGTGTGATGTCATCTGTGATGTCATAGGATTGTTGTGTTACCATGGAAGCAGTATGTCTGTGCCTGTAAAGTTCATAACGTCACATCACTCACATGGTTGACATGCTGAATTCATATGTTCTCTGCGAAACATCCTATGAAACAATAATCTTTATAAGTTCCGTAAAGTTCCTTTCTGGAAAATAGTGGTTTTGTGGTGAAAATGTAGGCTAGCATTATGGTCCGAGGGTCATGATGTTCTTGTGATGTCACCTAATTTCCACGATAATGCAACTTTGCATTACTTTATAAACCAGTATTGTTAATTTGTAATATAAGAAGTTAAATATCACTTCTGAAATGCTATTTGTCACCAATAAATTGTCTAATCACAGTTGTGAAACAATTCCTTGTAATATAATGACGTCATATGGTTGTTATAGTAACAGCAAGTGTTCAACTGTAAGACCGTTATGTAGGTTCCGGGTGTCACCAATGTACCATGAAAATTTTGTAATGATCGGATGAAATGTCTAGGAGTTATGACCAAAAGGGTTAAAAAATCTGCTTAGAAACAAGCGTTTTTTGTGCCACATTATAAATTCATTTCTCATACATTGTCTAATGTATGTTTTCCAAAATGTGGGCCAAAATTCCGATATTCAAATTGCTATAACTTTTGATTCCCTGGACAGATTTTGATGAAATAAACACCAAAACGTTTTAAATGGCAAGCTCTATCAGACTAAGCTATTTTGGGGGTCCCCTATTAATTTAAAATTTTGGCTGCTGTCCCTACTATAGAGTATAGGTCCTCTGCAGAAATTGAACCTGTGGCCCTGCATTTCCGGTGCAGCGCTGAGCGGCTCTGACGAACTGAGCTACAGAGTGGAAACAATCCTGATATTTACCCACATTAGATCCACGATTGGATCTCACATTTCGTGCACGAATATATTTGTTTTTGATCACCACCCCTGATCATGTTATGTGCGAAAAATGAGGCCATGTTCGTCACCAAAATTGATGCATATAATATATATATGTTATTTACCGGATTGGAGGTCCGTATAGAGAAATATTTCTCGAGGTCTTAAAAACGGCCCGAGGCCGAAGGCCGAGGGACGTTTTTAAGACCGAGAGAAATATTTCTCTATACGGACCGACAATACCGGTAAATAATATTTTTATTTTTTTTAATTCCTCCTCTGGATTTCCCCAATCACTCCTCCCGCACGCGAATGAAGCTGCCAAATAAAACGTCGTTTCTATCAATGCTATCGGGAAGAGTAAATCTTTTGTGAGATAGTAAAGTTCGCTTTCACTGTGTTCTTCATCGTCTGCAGACATTTTAATATTTTAAAAAGTAGCCTTTAAACTCGTCTTTAAATTTTGAAAAATAAAAACATTGGCTCTACGGCTTTAAATCTCGTGCGGTCCGTACGGGCTCATACGGACCGCTCACGTAGCCAATCAGATTGCAGAAAAGCGTAAAATATGACTTCGGACCGCAAGAAAAAAAATAAAATTTCATATTTTACTACAAGTTTTATTTTTTATTAGACGACCAGAGTTATATGGGAAATTCCACTCAAATGTGGTAGCTCATGATATAACCTTTCCTGAGGAGATAACCGCTTGACTTGAATATGTGGTGACCCTAAAATTTAATTTCATGTCTTGCTTAGATTGCTATGAAGTCTATTAATTTTTTTATTAGATGACCAGAGTTATAAGGGAAATACCCACTCAAATGTGGTGAGCCCATAAAATAACTGTTCCTGGGGAGATAACCACTTGAATGTGGTAACTCAAAAATATAATTTCAAATATTTCTTTTGCTATAAGTTTTTTTTTTATTAGAGATCAGAGTTATATTCAAATATCCACTCAAATGTGGTGGCTCATGATGAGTGATGACATGTGGTGACACATAATTTCCATGTTATTCTTTTACTATTTCTATATTAATTAGACTTGTACAGAAAATTGCACCAGTCTTCACCTCACCGGTACAGAAAGCTTGTCTCGCATTTCACATATTAGTCTATGGCTTATTGCATGCTTATATGTACTTCTTTTTCGTTGGAAATGATGAGTGTCGTTCTAGTGCAGCATCATAACTTTTTGATTATTGTTTGCAGTTTGCACTCAACCTGAGCCAGTAATAACTCGTTTAAGTTATTTGTAATGTAATTAGTAATGCTGTTCATGCTGAAATAAAATGTTTTTATTGTGTTTTCCTGAAGCTGTTTTGCTTTTTGTATGAGTTTATTATATGAATTTCCATACGTTTCACAACGCAGAACGCTGGAAATTAAGTTCGATTGACGCTAAATTGCCCAAATATTTTGTATAAATATGAATAGATAAATGTCTGAAAAGGCCGTTTCCGACGATCTAGAGGCCCTAATTTTCAAAATTTTTCCTGCTTGGTACTCAGCGAATAGCATGACCAATAATTTTTTCCTAGCTACGCTACTGGTTACAATCTCGATGTTTGAAAGGCACCATTGCTTTGGAGCTCGGTGAGTACTAGCCATAGCTGCTACTATTAATCCAACGGACGTGCTTTACAGCGAAATATTCGAAGTGATGACTTAACATGTATTTTCAGAGTTAGACGTAGATCGGCATTTAATACTCACAGACAGTTGTTTCCTGACGCCGATAACTTGACGTAAGTTCAACCGCGCTGCCACCACGCCAGTTAATAAGACGATTTATAATATAGCATTTGTAAATCCTGAACGCTGATTGGCTAAGAGCCGTGTTGATATAACTCCATGTCAACACGGGAAATTTTCCGCCGCTTGTAAACACGGAAATTTTTCTTATTCTTTGGGCTTTTGACATTGCTATATTATAAAACAAATATAAAACATTTTTCCGTATTGATATATAGTTATATCAACACTCGTGGAAGTTGGGAAAACTCGAAATTGTATGAAAACACTCCGCCCTTCGGGCGTCGTGTTTCCACACAATTTCTCGTTTTCCCAATTTCCACTCGTGTTAATATAACTGTATATCAACACGGAAAATGTTTTATATTTGTTAAATGTCATACACACAATCCATTGATGGAAATATATTTAACTCAAGAAGCAACTTGTACATTCAAGAAGCAAAATTAATAGCCAGTAAACAAAACTTGCGCTAGACTATATAAACGTCACCTTCACTCGCGGCCGCACTTTGAAATGAAATAAATTTAAATATTTAATTCATACATGCAGAACGCTAATGAAAATAGCAGTTTGCTTTCCTTTTTATCATGAACTTCTACAAAAGTAAATTTAACTAAGAAACTTTCGAATAAATGCATAAGAAATACTTGAAGAACAAAATCAAAGTCTATATTAATGCAAAGTCATACATAAACAGTTGAAACAAATTTCCCTATACTTTGAGATTTCTCATGGGCTGATCGGAATCAATTCTTGATGTTTACGTATAAAAATTGAAAAAAAGTCTTACAATTTGTTAAATGTTAAACGATTTTCTAAGCTTTCTTACATGTTTTTAATATTTTTTCCTCCTTCACTCCTGGCAAAAAGCCATATTTTGAGATCAGTAAGATGACAACATATACTCCATGCGCTCGCGATTCTTGATAAACTTTGGACTTCGCTAATGTTCCCTTTCCCCGGGTGTAAATAGCCAGTCGAATTAGTACCCTTTACCCAGTACCAAGTTTTGTACTGACCAGTTTGTAGGACCTCGGCAATAGGACTTTCATTATTAGTACTGAAACCGGAAGTACAGTTTTTCAAAAATTATGTCTCACAGATAGTTCTCAAAGGACTGCAAAATGTAATTTTCCATTTTTCTTTTAATGATTAAAGAATGACCAAAGTACGAGTTATTGATTGGCAGGTACAATTAATATTCTTTATAAATTCATCTCAGAATGCGCCACGGAAGTTCATCTAAAAATTGTCTGGAATGGAGCGGAAATTATTCGCTTTCAGGGACCTGCTGTATGATGTCGATTTCTCAAAAACCAAGTAAGAAAGCGTCATAAAAATATTCCTCGTCTAAATCCGATAGGATCAAGTACTCTTTGGCCAAATTTGAGCCAAATCGAATTTTGCAGATCCGCCGACATTTCTATTGAAATACCCACTCAAAGGAGATGAAATGTTTCGTACCCCCGCCCCGCGCACCCAACCAATCACCCTCTCCCCAAAAGCATAAAATTCTAAGAACATAACTGTTCTGCAAATTATTGCAATCCATTGTCTGCATGTATTGAAATATTTAGCGTAGTTAATAAATAGAGAGTCTTGAACTTGATATCTCACGAGTGAGCGCAGCGAACAAGTGATATATCATGTTCAACACGAGAAATAAATCTGGTATTTCCAAGCACCCATATATTTTTCTGTATATTATGTAAAGGAAAGTCTTTGAAAAGCGATAATTTTTGCATGATTGTGAGATTATCATAAATAATCACACATGTGAGATTATCACTTTTATCAGTGCTCGCCTTCTCTATAAAGCACCCTTGGTAAAAATCTTGGTCAGGTCTAGAAAAAAGGAAAACATAACTCAAAATCTTAATACCAATTTTTATACAAAACCGCTCAAAACACTAATTAATTAATTAAAAAATTATGAAACAAACAAATTACTCACGAAATTGTTTGCTCTCCAGGTAGTTGCAAATTTCTCCAGGGACATTTGATTACATACTAAATATAAACGTTGCTGTGGGTGGAAAGCGATCAGATTAAGGTTTGTGTCAGGCTATGTTTCTAAAATAGAGCTTGACTTCAGGTTAGGATCTCACATATTTGTAGACTTTGGTTATATCGACAGAACGTCTTGACGTATTTCACATCTTTCTCAATATTGAAACCATTCTAAAAGTAAACAAGCAGGGAGCCACCCGACGGTAAAATAACGTAATCAAAGACTGTTCAGGTTGCAGACATGTCAAACTAATAGGTTCCGATCGAGACACTTTCATAAATCCTGCTCTGCTACATGGCAATTTACAGCAAGGAACATTTAGGAACATACACTTT